ACAATGATGTTGGGAGAATTCATTTTGTGCTAGAGAGGAGGAGATTAAAGAAAACAAGCCATACTTGTAACTGTAAGTCAACTGAGTAACTTGGAGGAAAAGATTAGCATAATGCCCTTTGAGCAGCATCATTTTCAAAAGGACAGAAAAACTTGTCCTTCAGACCTGCTTCATGCAAGAGAAGCAGAAGATTGCAGGACCTAATCCTCAGGGCCACAGACTTTAATACATTCCTGAAAGAAAATAAAGCTTTTTTAAACAGGCTTTTAATATTGTCCTTCCTGGAGCAAACTGTTGAGAATAAGCAGAAGAACGGGGAAATAAATGTGAAGTATTCATGTGTCCTCACTGCATTGAATTCCTAAGCTAAGAAGACAAAAGGCTGCATTTTTCAAACAAAGTCCTGAAGAGATTTAGAGAACTGCTTTGCAAAATCTCTTCAGTAGGAGCCAATAACTGTAAAGACATTGCATGGTCAAGCCTGTGCTCCCAAGACCCCTGGTAAGGTTGATCCAGAGCACTCCAGAAGCGCTTATCCAGCCAAAGAGAGAGGATAAAAGCATGGTCAGGAATGAACATTTTCTTCCACAAGTTGGTATCTAGTGTATCAAGAAAGCTGAAGGCAGGTTAATTAGAAATACAAGCCAAAGCTGGGAACCCGAGGACTAGAGCCAGCTGATCGGCAGCAAGATTCAAGAAAAGCCCAGCACACAGTAGCTAAGGGGCCCATGGAGCAGTCCAGAACAAGTGGTGACATGCCACAATACAGTGATGGAGCAGCCACCACTGTGGCTCAATAGCCAGTCTTAAGAGTCCTGGGACAGATTAGCAAGCTTCTCCAGGCACATAAGATGTGATAGGGGAAGAGCAAAATCAGGAGAAAGCATGAGGAAGCCTTCAAGTCTGATGACTAGCTGCAACTGGATCACCTGAGTGGAGTCTGAAAGGAGCTCAGATAAAGGGAGAAAAATAATGGATAGACTTCCAAGGTACAGAGCTATCAGAGCTATTTCCAGTTTCTGTTATCAGATGAGAGGACAGTTTTTGTTGTTGTTGGTCAGTAGACAGAATGGTCTGATGATCCAGTTATTTTATTCCTGTTTATGCTACTCAGTTGCAGTTGCCACTGCTAAAATATTGATTCGTTAGACAGTAGTTAACTTTTCTAGTCTATACACTATACCAATAAAATAAGCCTTGGCAAAATTCATTCCTTTCAAGCTGTATATATCAACATTTTATAGTGACCACTGTACAGACTATCATCGGAGTGATGAAAGAAAGAGTGAGGCTTGATCTGACACAGTCTGTTTTGGTTCTCAGACCATAAGTATACACTGCATGCTTACAGCTAGTGAAATTCACACCAGTTGCCCATCCTAGGTGTAGTCATGTGTCTACAGGCTAGTAAGCAATACAAAGCAGATTTCTCTACAGCCATCCCAGATTGCCTTACTGCAACTAACAGAGTTCTGCACAGGCACAAAGAGCAAATGGCTGCAGACCCTTCTATCCACATTGCAAGTGGAGCACTTTAGATAGTGCCCTGGTGCACAACTTCAGCCTTGGTTCCACCTACAGGGAAGATGCTTCACGTGACACACTGGTGTATTGGAGTGCATGACACCAACACAAGACAAATTCACATCTGAAAACAACCTCATCAGTACACAAAATCACTAATGTAGATACAGCTGTTCCAAGGTTAGGTAGATTAGTAAGGCCAAGCTCACAAAACAACATAGCAAAAATTTTGAGTCCCTCTTGAAAAAGTTTTTATGCTGATTTTGTTTTCTCCATATGATGAATGTGAAACAAACCCCTTTTCTTTAACCACTTTGATCTAACGTTCATAGACTCCCTGTATTTGTTTTATAGACTTTGTTCTGGACTATTAAGTAATCATGAGATATTTCCCCCTTAGCAATGCATGGAAAATCAGATCACCAATTGTTAGGTTACCCTGGGCTACTGTTAGCCAACTTCCATTAAACCAAGAATAATTTGGAAGAACTGTTTGATTAAACTGGTGGAAAAATTCCATGATATGTTTGTTATGTTCTACCAACGATAACAAACCTAATAGTTTGTAGGACACATGTTGTAGGACATGTGCAATTTGTTGATTGATATTTATGTGGAATTTGTTCCATATTGTGTAAGGCCATTGTTGTATTTACAATATATTATTAAGTGTTTTTAATTATATTCATTAGGACCTGGATAAATAACCATGGATTCTTGGAAAATAAATAATTTACCTGCAAAATTACATTATGTATTTAATATTGAGTTTCACTTCTATCTTTTTCATGGGAAAATTCAATAAAAAGCTGAATTACACATCTCTTGTCTACGGAGAGAGCTCAAACTTCGAAATCTTGCACAGATAGGTATATTAAGAAGACTCCATTCAAAATATTCTGTAGAGTTATTTAAACATACTTTTGCCCAAGTATTTTGGGATTTAACCAATATACTTTGTTTTGCACAGTTATACCTAAGGAGGGTAGATTCTCAGCTGATGTACATGTCAGACCTTTAATAAGTAGATACATCACCAACTCTCCAGCCAAGCATCCTCTTCACTGTCTGGGATTTCAAAGACAGGCTGCATAAATTAGCCCCTTAAATTCATACCTAGCAGTCTGATAGAGTACAGATTTTAAGTCTTTGGCATTGAATAACTTTTACCAACTTAATTACTAATTTGTGCAATTTTATCTGTCTTTTCTTTTTTTTTCCAGTATGACTGATTGTTTATTCTAACACTTTAATTTTGAATTTCAGTGCAAATATTAACATACCTAGCTGAACTCAATGCAATGCTAAATAGAAAATTTCAGTTAAGATAACTGAACCACTTTAGAGGTTCTGGCATAAAATAGAAAGGGGAAAAACAAGAATGTCTTGTAGCTTTTTAAAGCAGCAAATTTTAATGTTAAAAAAAGTAATTGAAGATCAAGATGTAAAACTAATGTCATTATAAAGGACAACATACAGTACCAAGGTCTGAAATGTTGTCAAAAAACCAAAAAGCTTGGTTCAGTCATTGTTAGGCCTAAACCTGCAAGTGCTAATTACCTTCTGCCTTCAGCTGAGAGTGCATAATAGTTGTTGATAGGCATTTGGCATCTTGCAAGATCCTAGTTCCCCAGGCACACAAAACTTGAAAGGGAGTAGCAGTCGGTAAATTGAAAGTATCAGCTTCTGGAAATATAATTTCCATCTTAGTCTGGCTTTGTTTGTTGAAGAGAACTTCTGACCTACGTGTACTCGGGCTGACCTGCACATCCGTGCCAAATCATTATAGAGTCATACAGCTTGACATAGTTAAAGATCCTTTCGATGCAGAGCCACAGGCAGCTCAACAGTCACACGATAGCTAGATATTCCAGAAAGTGGCATAAAATTTTGGTCTCTGTTAGAATATTTGTGCTTCAAAATGTCCACTTTCCTGAACACAACTTCAAATGAGAAACTGTTTATGAAATAATATACATTATGAACAAATGTAGATGAAGTAAAGTGGGAGATGAGTTGAAAATAAGATTAGGTTTTCAGTCTTGAAACCCATTTCCATTGCAGGCAATGCTTACTTTCTTAAGTAGAGTACACAACTTCGTCAAGGGCCACTGGGAGGATTAGGTTCCTTATAGGGGAGACAGGTTGTTAGTGAATGTACTACTGTAAAAAGGTCATTTCTCCATGGTTTTTACTAACGTTTGTGTGTGGATATTTTAATTTTTATTTCTTCCTTCTATGTCCTCCTTGTCTATGTTTTGTCTCATGACTGTTCTGGATTGTCACTTGCGGTAGGTTTATTCTGCTATTTGGACACACCTAGTCGAAAGCTCTGATACATATAGTCTTCTGACAGCTCTGGCTCCTCAGCTGAGATTTATATGTAGTAGCTTTGACACACACATTAAGAGGCTGAACTAAATTGATTGGGTATTTTTTTTTAGTTGGGTGTATATTTGGGGGAAGGCTAGAGGAGGGCAAAAGAAAAGAGTTTGTCATTCTTTCTGTAGTTAAAATATTAAGTCAAACTGTACTAGAAAGCTCAAGTTTAAAATTGACAGGCACATAAGAATAATTTGCTAATTTTATTTCCTTTTTGTATAAATGTCACCATATCAAAAGTAGACGAAAGCAGTGCATATTTTTATGTCTTAGTTTCTAAGTGTTGCTAAAATGATTGATACCTCAAGAGACTTGCTGTGGGCTCTCGCATCATCTCAGTATAGTGATATAGAACTTTAAGTTCTTAATGCTCCATACTAAACTCTTTTAAGTGATCTTAATGCAGATTTTTGTTGATGACAACTAGCACATGTGTTTTTATGAGCTCTTCCCATCAGGCTCAGTTTTCATCTTTATAACTCTCCAGTCACTGCTAATGACCCTGGTGGTTCACATTACTTTTTTCTTTAGAAAAAAAAAGCCCCCT